ATTTATTCCCGGTAGTTTATTTCCCCCTGCTTGCTGTAACGAATTATGCAAGGAACGGATCTTAGACAGTAAATTATGTTTTCATTTACATTTATGCCTTTTCTTTCAAAATCAGAACCAATTGCGTATCTGACATTGTTGCAATTTGGCAATCGGCAATTTCACGCTAATATATACAACACATGCATCTACTTGTTAAACGCGTCTGTAGAATGCAAAGCACAAGAGCTTAACGCGTGCATGAGATGCAAACACTTGTTTCCATAAAACGTAATAACACGCCAAAGCGCCACGCATATTGCAGACACATTACACTAACACAACGTGACAACAGCCACCAACACAGTCGGTAATGTTAGTACAGAAAAGCATTGCCAATCATGGGTATCCGCGAGGAATAGTAACAACAAGTCTCATTGCATGACGCTAATTCTTAATCTTACTGCACATCAAATCCCGACGGTGGTATTGTTGATTGAAAACAAATGTTACTTTTGCACGCATCTTTACTGTCGTTTATATTCATATACCCCCCATCCCCCACTCGAAGGGGGGGGGGGGGTGGGCAACATACATTGAATAACAAAATAACATTTGCTACATGTTTCAGTGCATTCATTTAAAATAATATAACAACGGAATACCAAATTGTGTTCATATTTCCCTCCCACGTACCGTGGGAAGAGACCAAAAGCATGACACCTGTAGATAGACACTTGCGAATCATATATATGTACAGTAATACCTCGATTTTCGCAGTAGATGCATTCCTGGAGCTTTGTATATTGAATAACTTACAAAATGTAGTACTCTGAGGATGCGTTCCGAGCCTTTGTAAATTACCTTTTCATACAAGAATACTTCATAACGTATCGTTCATATTGTAAACAACGACGATGTATATTGAACTAATATAATATTTATACTGTACAGTATTGAAATAAAAAATCCGACATAAATTACAGAAACACTACCCTGTATTGTAAAATATATTCTCCCACAAGTGACAGTCTTCGATGCAGTCATAAGGTCGCATTGCCCACCACACACCATCGCTGCGTGACGTAGAACGTTGCTGTGCACTGATTGGCCGAGACAAATGTAAACGAACGTTCTCTGACCCATCGCCGTGCCCAAACCTTATTATAATTGTATTCTTATTTAATAGTGCAGTAGATAGATGTTCGTGTTATTTATTGATGTCAGCGTAATTATTTATTGTTTTACTCAATTTTATTGCATGATTGTAATGGTAAAGTTCGTTCAACTGAAACTTAATATATCAGATATTAATATAATGACAATACATCCAAAGTTTGTTTAACTGAAACTTAATATATCGAATATTCGCATATGGAGGTATTACTATAGGGTATATATGAATAAAAGAGTCTGTATAATGTATATATATAGGCTCCCTGCCATCCCTTGTCCTCGATTTATACCCGGAACACAGTCTGTGTTCAGATTCGCACTTCCAACCACGACGCGGCCTATTTCCGCCCCCTATGAACAGAGTACGTTCATGAGAGAACAGTTACGAACATGTAAGCCAATCTTTGTTACTCGACAACATGTAAATCTGCTTTACATTTGTAACACAAGAGCATTCGTGGCAAGAGCCACTTAATTTTCGATATCGTGTTCATGCCTGAGGCTAACATATGCAGTGTGTTCTGTAACGGGATAAATATTGTATATTAAATGCGTGTCAGATCAGTTCCATGCAACCAACACGTGTAATTGTATATTTTCAAAACAACTTACGGAAAACACTGGCACACATACTATATTGAGAACTGTCTTATATTGAAGAGATTATGTTAAGGCTACACGTTACTGTCAGAAATATATGTATATCAGGGATCGTGAATTTGTACCATAGCATAATTGATGAATGTTAAAACTGTACTTCATTCTCTCATATTTATGCACACTGGATAAGACTAAACCACTTACTTTGTAGTTGACGAGACCTGTGCATTGGGCATAACAGGAAGCGTTTGGTAGCGAAGTCAAATTATTGTACATTATAATTATTCTACATTACGTCCCCGTAATAATGATAGTCGTCTATCATCAGTTGTTTATCATCATGATACTAGTAGTCACTGTGGGACATCTGTGGGAAAGAACTTCATAGCTCATCGGATTTCTCCAAGATAAATTAAGATTCGGATTCTCCCTCCCTCCACCGCCCCCCTCCCTGCTCTCATGCCCCCGTGCCCACATTTTCCAGGTACCGCAAACACCACGCACAATGTGACTGCTCTGGAAGGCGACCCGGTGGTACTGCCCTGCAATGTTTCTGATAGGCCCCAGGAGAGCCGGCGGGCTCGGGGTGAGCGGAGCCGCAACAGCCACAACCGCGGGAGGCGAGAGAGGCGACTGCGACAGGAGGCGTTGCTGATGATGATGACGACGACGACGATGATGGTGGCAGTGGCTATGGTCGACTCCAAGGCGCCGCGGTGTCTCGCGGAAATAAACGTTTGTGGGTTAATGAAAAGTTTATTTTGTTGCTATTAAAAATGTGCACTATGTGGACCTGCTCGTGGATGGATGTTGTGTTGAGCATTATATTTGCCCGTGAAGAATTGAACACGCAGGGCCAAATACAAGAATATCACCTCATCATAGAAAAAGGTAAAATGAATCGGAGACGCCCGCATAATGCGCCACTTTCCATGTTTGTTTTGTTTTATGAACCATTGTGGATGTGGCACTGATAAAGCAACATACACAATGCCCTGTATTAAAGTAATATATGGGGCAACGTGAATAATATCACATATTCAGTTGTCTCATATTCAGTTGTCTCAAATTTAATTTACATGCCACGTAAATAATGTTTAATCAGTTGGGACTTCATTGGATACTTAACTATGACTTTAATTAATTTCTAAAATAAAAATAATACAGTTTTTGCAACAGGACGGAACCACATATTGGTTAGGCTTTGAATCGGATTCCGACCCGATGGATCAGATTTCAAATCTCATCCTTGGTGGGACATTCCATAACAGCATTACTCTCTCACTTTGTATTCAAAGTATAATCTTACTTCACACCTTGCGCAAAAGCGTGGTGGCTTACTCGAGCCACACAACAAGCGAGAGCCGAACCGTGACTAAAATAAACGAATGAATGCTGTCGATTACGCTACACTATATACTACATACTCTTTGGTTATTTCGGTAAAGTCACGTAGGTAGTCACTTTCCTGCAGTCACGAAAGCTTCAAATCAAGATTATATACTACATATATATTAATTCATGGAGCCTCGAAGCCGCGCAGTGATCCTCTGTCTGTGACGGAGGAAAATTATCTTTTGTTCAATAAGAATAAATCACGCTCACTGCGTAACCTTTGCACCTCAACTTTCTTTCTAAGTTGTTGGACGCACAACGATGTTTTGTCTCTTATGTAATTGTCATTCATCGCCATCTTTATCGTACAATGCTTTAATATGTTGCTGTTGTCGTATTTAATGGTGAAAATTAAACTCGTGCATTTGAACGACAATTCATGATGCTATCTTTATTATTTATGAAGGTGGTCGTGTACACCATCGCCGTTGTATAAATATATGCATCCGTTTGTTTTCTTCTGTGCGGCGCTTCGGGGGAGATTTTGATTGCAAGAGGCGCCACTTTCAAATGAAAGACCGATTACAGATTGTTTCTTGATAACCGCAGAAGGTTATGGGTCACTCTTCTCCATTATATGCCATTGATGTACGTTTAGGATACCGCAACATTCTGGCGAGACGCGTATTTTGTCAGCAAGAGGGGTTTAGAAGCTCTAAAACGTGGACCATTCTGAGAGGAGATGCCGGGACACGAGATACCCACCCTTGCCTCATGGGAAAAACACATTCGCATTACAATCCTGGTTCACGTCAATATTTATATTATTTTATTGCTATAGCACCTTAGATCAATGTGCTCTTAAACATGGTTTAAAACCGGTAGCAAGAATGGAGTGAAGTAGATCAGAAAACAGAATCCTTATTTATACTGCAGGAGGATTCCGATGAGCTATTAAGCTCTTTTTCACAGATGTCTAGTAGGCGTGGGTCAGCAAGTTACAACAACAATGCAGAAACACGATAGGAGTGGAACATATAGAAAAAGGTAAGCAAGTCACTCAATATATAAATACATTAATGATATAAGTTCGATTTTTCAACACCAAATGCAAGCTTGGGCAAGGCAGCACAAACAACAATAACAACAAAAACAGCCCAAGACCACACCAACATAAGTCCCTCAATAAAATGGAACATTTAAAATTGAACTAGCAATACACATGTAAGGATCAACGTTACAAATCACATTTACAAAGGAAGATTTAAGATGTTCAGGGAGGAAACAAGATTGTTTCAAAACGTTGGTTGCTGCAAAGGCAGTGAGACGGCAAGGGGCGTGCAATGGCCGACGGATGAGTGGCCGTGACAGAGGGGCACGTGGGGGTCACGAAAGACTTGCAGATGAGGCGCGAGGTAAGGGGACACGAAGGGAATGGGCAATGGGGAAGAGGTGGAGCTTTGAGAGAGGAACGGAATGCTTAATGTATGGAGGAGGTTTACTCAGTGGTAAGCTAAACTCACCTTGCCCAGAGGTCAGTGACGTAGATGACCACAGCCAGATGGAGAGACACTGTAAAAAGTGGGCTGTGGAGGTCAGGTGGCAACTATGCGTGAGACGTGGGATCTGTAAGGAGGTGGCAAAGCGTGAGGTGTTGGGGGCATTCAATTGCTTGGCTGTGACGACCTGATCTTCATAGATATATTATATATATACGTAATATGTTGATATATACAGTATGTTATATATGAACGGTTTTCAAAAAGGTATACAAATATTTATATGAAAAAGTATAAAATGTTTTATAGAAAATTATACAGAAATCAGTCAAGGCAACCTTGGTTAAATGTTGTACGTGTTATTTTTTAAAAAAAAATCATTATTATTATGACTGTGATCTGCAGGAAAATCACCAGAAATCAAGAATACTCTCAACAGTTCAGCACCAAACTCGTTTGGCACCACTGCCTCTGCGCAACCTCGCCCTTCCGGCACCGGGAAAACTCCGTGCAGTCAAACTAATGGCGTCAATGAAGCCAATGACCTCTACAAGATTTTCTTCCACGTGGTGGTGGCCATTTTGGCCATTGTGCTGGCTGGGTATCCGATACTCATCTACAAGTATTTACACAAAGGTAAATGCAGGTTCCCCTCGCTTTATGTGGTGGTGGTAGAAGTAGTAGATACGTTCCAAAAAATTGGTGCACAAAGTGCAACCGCACGAGGAGACACCTGCCTGCCAAGTAGCGCACATGGTCAGTACACACACAATGTTGTCTCCCACCGTTCGACCACATAGCCGCATACGAGTGAATTGAAATCGCATAATAATAATATTACCAATTTCTACAGTGCGAAATCACACAAACTGAACCCGCATTATGTGATAGAAACCTTTACAGTGCACAGACATCCATCCCGCATTCGATTTATTTGGACATGGCATCTCTAGACAATTGTAGTGAGCGATTTCCGAGACACGTTGTGTAGAAGGCTTCTCATTTATTCTCACACTTTAAGCACAACACTCGGCGATACATCTATCTACTACATAGCTACACATAGCCGACCCTTCTACACAACCCCATCATCGGCGTACAACTACACAGCTGCCTGACTAGTGCAGCGACGGCGACGATGAGAGCCTTGCAGACGATCGGCCATGTGGCAGGACGACAAAGAGAGATGACGGCGAGCAGTGATGCAGCCAGGACCCGCAACAGCACCGATCCTCTGGTTCGGTCCACCTTATATAGACCCCGGCTAGCCAAGCCCCACCTCCGGCCACGCCCCCTTCCAGAACCTTCGAGCAGGTTCCCGGAGCTTCCCGACTGACTCCTCCTTTCACCTTTACCCCAGATACGCCCCACTCATAATTAGACATTACGTAACATGCCCATAACTGCGATTACCCCTTCAGGCCGACACTACACAATTAACGACACAAGAGTATTTGGTATTTAAACTAATTATATATTTTAAATAGTTCACGTCATTTTACAACAAAAAAATTCTGGATTATTAGACAAATATCGCATGCAATATTTGAAAAAAAACAAGAACGTTTAGTAAGTTGCATGCGTTTCTTGCGAAAGTGTCAATGGATACAATCACAGGCAGTGGACACAAAGTCAATAGGTGCAGTGATATAGCAGTTGTGTTTTCTTTTAAGTTTACAGGTTTCAAAATAAAACATGCGCTAAGACATTACGTCAAATTTGTCCGCAGTAAAGTTGGTGGAGCAATCGACTCCCAAACAGGAGCTCATCTCAAGCTGGGTCGGTCCGGCTCTCCTCCCTGCTGGGGTTGCAGGAGATGAGTACCACCTTGACACGTCGGCAGTTCCTTTTGGGTTATACAATATCCTGAATCCCGCCATATGAATGTGGAATTTCCTGCACTGGCTGTAGGTCACCATCGTAGATGAGCATTTTGTTGAACACTTTGTTGGCGGTGCCCTCTCGTAGCTCACTTTGTACAGAGTCGTTGCAGACCCAGGATAAGCACGCGGGGTGTACACATTCTGAATGTACACATTATACACCGGACTTAAATACATCTCCCTCACCTGTTTGTTTTCCAGACACACCCATTGTAGAGCAAGTGGACATGACTTGTTTTAAAGAAGTAAGTTGTTTGCGAATAATGATTGTTTTTTTCTCTCTTTTACATTTTAAGCACGCTAAATTGTTCTCAAGGCGGTACTTTTTTGACTCTAAACTCTGCTCCAATTTCCCTGGTGGTAACACCGACTGTGCGACCGACTTTTTATTTTCTACGACCAAGTACTGTAGCAGCCACACAAAAGTTAACTGTGTTTTTTTTTTTATTGACCGTAACAAGTAGCGAACTGAGCGTACGATGTACCAAATGATGAAACCTGTGACAAGCCGTAAGTGAATTTCCGGAGAGTTACCCTAACGCCACACTAGATCTGAACAGTTGTGCAACGTAAAGGAGGGGTTGAAAAGCCGTGCTTTACAGTGAATACATTGCACCTTTTTTATTCTAGGAAACGAAGGATGACTCCGATTACTGTCATCTCCAAAAGACAGAAAACGCGGACGTATACAATGTTTTACACCACTAATCCATACGCATATACAGTACTGTCTTGTCTGGCACATTACCTGTACACATTGGTGGAAATGGATATTTACAAGTGATGGTATTAAATCTATTTAGTACCACCGTAATTACCAATGCTTATGGTTTTATTTACCAGGTAAAGCCCACCGAGCTCTTTTTCAGAGGTGACCTGACCACACATGATAGCTCATCAAAGTGGCATAAATAATCATTATCACACGTGGGAATTTATAGTATGTTGTACGTTTGCCTTTTCCAAAAAAATATTACAAAAATGTGATATTGTTTATTTTTAATGTCATAGCTCCTTTGTACACCTGTACACGTGCATTCATTGTTCTCCTAGAGTTGAAAAACTTAAGGGACAAAGCCAATTATCACCTGAATGAGAAGCTGGAAAACAGAATACAAGAGTCTTTGATAGCTCGAACCGTACTCAATCCGTACTCAATCGTAGCTCGATTCGTGCTCGATCCGTGCGATCAGAGGTCGATCCGTGCTCTATCAGTGCTCGATCGGAGCTCAATCGATGCTCGATCCATTCTTGATCTGTGCTCAATCATTGTTCGATCGATGGTCAATCAGAGCTTGATCGGTGCTCTATCGATGGTCCATTGAAGCTTGTTTGGCCCTTTTCCTGATGCAATACTCTTGAACTAACGCATGCATACACAAACACATGTAATGCATCGTGAGTAAATAAAGACAACGTAAATTGAAAAAAAACATTTGAAATTGTATTTCACACGTACACAAGTATTATACACAGATACACCCACATTTACGTATATTTTTTGTATTATTTATCCATCTTATTTTTTAAGTGTAATCATTGCTAAAGGTACATTAAACTAACATATACCTGTCACAAAATGGGAGAATTTCTGTAAAAAAACTTTATAGGTAAAATCTTCAGGCGTTCAAAGGCAAAACGTAGTGGGAGAAAAATCGGGAATTTTCCGCCGAGGGTGAAGTGGAAGATAAGCGGAATAAAATTGGAAGGATCACACAAGTCATACAAACACATTTCCCAAGCAAAGTCCATTTATTTAGAAGCTCTCTAAAGTGGAACAGACAAAAATGCATCACACCAGTATTTAAAGTTGCTCCAAAAAAGCTAGTGCTGGATGACTATTGTGTACTACATTATAACTGTAGTAGATAAGTAGACTAGTAACTACTGTAGTGTGGTGATGGAGAGTAGACTTGTGGTGCACATCACATCTTATCAATTGATCATTATGTAATCTGTTATTTTGACATTGCATACAGGATGATTATAACTAAAGTGAAATCATTGAAAATCAAATAAATTAAACCTTGTGTGTGAATTGAAAAGTTAACATCATTATTTTGTGGCAAAAAAACTGGGCAACAATGCTAACGTGGGTGCAGCCAGTTATGGTAAGGTTATTTAATGTTAAAATATATCATTGATACATATAACAAGAAAAGTTAACCAATAACGTATGTGCACCATAATGTGCACGAATCGAGCACAGATCGGGCACAAATCAGTCTCCAAACGAGCTCAGATCAAGCACAGATCAAGCACAGACTGAGTACCGATCGATGTCTGATCAAGCTCTGATCGAGCACGGATTGAGCACTGGTCAAGCTATGTTTTGAATACCTCTGTCTCTGTGTTTCAACACGGATCAAACTGATATTTTGAATACATGTGCCTACGTGTTCGAGCATGGATCAAACTAATATTTTGAATACCTGTCTATGTGTTCAAGCACGGATCAATCTGTGATATTTTGAATACATGTGTCTATGTGTTCGAGCATGGATCAGGAGGGGGCACAGGTGGTGCATCGGCTAGCCATCTCAGTCAATCAACCCATGGCACCTGGGTCTGTCCCGTGACCTCCTGCCAGTGGGAGTTTGACTGACACTTCACGTGGCCTTAATGTGCACATATCCTGGCACAAGCACCTCGTGGTGACGTCACAGCCACTTAGTAGTGAATGGCGGTTGTTGTTGATTATGGATCAAGCAGTGTTTGAGCTTTGTATTGTTGAAAGTCCGTTTATTCCCGTTCCAGTAACCCATATATGGGCAAAGCCATGCTAAATCACTCCATATATGGGCCTACAAATATACAGAATGTATCATTCATTCTGTTACGGATTCATTATATCCTTTTACAGCGCACCGTCATATTCTGGCCCATAACGACCACTGCTGACACGTAAACAATGTATGTAGTGTGTGTTTAGAAATACAAATATAGAGAGCAAATACAGTAAAATAGTTCAATAATATTTTTTTAAATCTTGGACCATATTCGCTTCCATACCCTTGCGTGAAAATGTACATCGTTGTTGTGTTTAATAAATTATTTCTTTAATACAAATTAAAGCATCAGATTTTCCATGGTTCGTTGTCATAAATTACAAGGGAATGCCTCTTACATTTTTTGATCGCATCAACTTATTACTATGATAATTGTTTTTTTACCCTTCTATCTAGCAACAAAACTGACACCTTTTTTTACAAGGAGTCATGTTTGCATAGACCACAATACCTGCAGTCATAATGCAAACAAAAAATAACTCTGATAATGTATGCACTGTCCTAGAAGTTGATTGGTCCACACCCGAGACAGCTTTCCTTAGAGCCTAGTCTCACATGGGTTGAACCAGATGACGCCAAAAGGCGCACAACTCAAAGACAATGCACCATCAGAGTATGAGAGCTCGGGGTAAGCATTTACAGCATTGGAACCTAATTTGCCAGTAAAAAAATATGATAATTGTTTTTTTACCCTTCTATCTGGCAACAAAACTGACACTTTTTTTACAAGGAGTCATGTTTGCATAGACCACAATACCTGCAGTCGTCACCATCATCATGGCTTGGCTTCGCGAACCAAGATCTAGGAAGGACATCCACGTCTTCTGCAGGCACGCTGGTGGCTGAAGAGGCCTATGCGGGACAAGCAGGTCCTGCCACAACAGCTGCAAGTATAGGTCTCATCTGGGATGGGTGCTGAGGGATCATGGTTCTTCCTCCTTCTCCTTTTGTCCTCCATACGGGCCCTGCGGGTATCTTCGAAGAAGGAGGTGGCCTGGTGGACTGTGTGCCGCCAGGAGTTGCGATCAGCTGCTTGTGTTGCCCACTGACAGTGATCGATGCAGCAAGCAGTGAGGGACTTCTTCAGGGAGTCTTTGTATCGCTTTCGTGGTGCCCCTATGTCGCGATGGCCAGAGGACAGTTCCCCATACAGCACAATCTTAGGCAAGCGGTGGTTCTCCATCCTGGCGATGTGCCCTGCCCAACGAAGCTGTGTCTTGAGGAGTGACCGGGGGGGGGGGGGGGGGGGGGGTAGACGTGAAGATTTCCTTCTTGCCTGCGCAAAGGAGCTTTCACGTGGAGTGCAGTGTGCGCAGAACTGACCCCACCCTTTAAACCCGGGGTTCGTCTGCCATGGCCTAGCAAGCTGGGACGGTGACAGCGAGGTCCTCGGGCCGTAGGTTTTACATCAGAGTTTCCTTCTCCTAGGTAGACGGCCTTCCAAGGCTGAAGAGATACACCTTCCCTGCAGTCATAATGCAAACAAAAAACATAACTCTGATAATGTATGCACTGTCCTTGAAGTTGATTGGTCCACACCCGAGACAGCTTTCCTTAGAGCCTAGTCTCACATGGGTCGGACCAGATGACGCCAAAAGGCGCACAACTCAAAGACAATGTACCATCAGAGTATGAGAGCTCGGGGTAAGCATTTTCACCATTGGAACCTCATTTGCCAGTAAAAAATATGATAATTGTTTTTTTTCCCGGGTGCAGCTATAACTCGACCCCAGGCAGGGACCGTGAGACACAGTGAGTACGTCTGCGAGGTGAGAAGCAGAGTAAGGGTCCACCCAGGGATTGAAGAGGAATAGACTGGGCACTGCTCGCTGAGAATTTTGCTCTGGGCCACGCAGGGTTTTTCTTCAGGCGCGCCATTAATAAACTTTAGAACAGAACACCGACGCCATGTGATTTCTGTGTGTGAAGGAGAGCGTAGGTGTGGTGTGAGTACGTGCGTTTGTATTTAATCATAAACCATCGCTGACGTTCGCGTGCGTGTTTACATAGCGCGTTTTACACAGTGTGTTTACGTAGCGACGATCGCACCCAACGGTGGAACGCGCGAATATTATCGCCAACCAGGCCGTCGTTCTTGCCCGCGTGCCTGCACGGGCATGCGCGTGCAAGTAGCCACCTTGGCATTAGTGGTGATGTACGGGGGGAGTGTGTGGGATAACCCGAGGCGTTGGGGAGCCAGCCACTAGCCATGCTTCACAAAGAGGACGCTGTTGTGGGGAGGCCGATCACCCGATCAGCGGCAGCCCGGCGAGAAGGGGCGGAGGAGGAGGGGGGGAGAGGAGGAGGGGGGCGTCAGCCCCCACAGTTACTTTCCCCCCGTGTCTCCAGCTTCCCACTTCTAGCGCCACCTACTTCCCCCCCCAGCCTCACTTCTTCTCCCCAAGCGCTCACGCAGCCTCTCCCCCTTCCCCTACCCCCCCCCTCTCTCTCTCCCCCCTTGCTCCTCCCCCCTTTCTTACCTATATAACCTCTTGCCACTACAGCTCTGTGGTTGTTCCATCTGATGAGGATTGCTTGTGTTGCGATCTAAACGTCGTGATTTGTTTAATTTTATTTTATTTCTACCTATGTGACTTTACCGAACGAACCAAAGAGTATGCATTTAACCATTTACACTAGATCATTACATGAAACGTAAAAAAAGAAAGGCCTAGGAGTTGTGCTTTACGTCTATGCATGCTTGTACACAGACAATATTTTAGATTTTAGAAATCTCGTCACAGAAATCCAATGCAAGCTCAATTTTGTTTAGATACACGCCCATGTAAAAAACTGAAACAAGTAAACCCGTAAAAACAAAGTTTTTCACTATAAATCCTTTATATGCGTGGCGGCTAGAGTCCTCTCGTCCTCTGGCTTGAGATGGCTGCCACCTATGGGTCAGATGATTGTCTGCCACCATTAAGCAATTGGTAATTAAATATTTAATTTGTTTTCCCTAAACAGTGTAAAATTTTGGAATTTTTTTTCACAAAAATTAATTGTCACACACAACGAGTCTGTGTGGAAAATGTCAGCTTGATTGGATCACGGGAAGTGTGATTAAAAACGAGCGAAAGATTTGCACGGTCCTAAGCAAGCAAGCGAACTTAATATAAAGAATTTAAAAATATATTCGCCTGTGGAGGACGCGGGGATCGATCCCGCGACCTTTGGCATGGAAAGCGAGGGCGCTACCAACTGCGCTACTCCGCCACGGCCTGTGGAGGGGTTACGCTCTGGGCTCTTACACTGTGACGTTCAGCCAAAGCCATGAATGAGTGCTATTTGAATATATGTAAAATATTTTTTTTTTTGCCTAAAAAGTGTAAAATTTTGGGAATTTTTTTTCACGAACATTAATTGTCTCGCACAACGAGTCTGTGTGGAAAATGTCAGCTCGATTGGATCACGGGAAGTGGGTTAAAAAACGACCGAAAAATTTGCACGGTCGTAAGCAAGCAAGCAAGCACGCAAGCAAGCAAGCAAGCACGCAAGCAAGCAAGCGAACTTAATATAAAGGATTTAAAAACATTAAAAAAATGAGAAGACATCATAGCTTATGCTACCTGTTCCCAATCTGATGGCTCCTTGCTTTTAAAACAAGTTTGGTGGCATTTTACAGCGTGGAAAGCAACCGACTCGATTGAGCTAATCAATGCAAACTGGAAAGAAGGCCGCATTTGCCTGCAGTCAAGTCATGTGATTACGGCGCAAGGGAAGCGGCAGTCCCATTACGTTGGAGTCCCAGACTTCTCACTGCTGACGGCTTCAGGCACACACAGTCCACACTCGGGCTGACTCCATGCTGGGATGCGCTTATCTCGTCCGGAGTGAGAAATCCGTGGCCCAGT